CCCACTTGGGCAGCCACTACTGCGAAGGAGTTATACAGTTCTTTATGTGACCAGGTAATCAGCAAGATCAAGGTTTGTTCCTCTATCTTTCGATTTTCTCATATGTCATCTACTAATTGTTTCTCATGGAATCATTGTTTAAATTTTGTTTTATACCTGTAGAATAACAGCAGTAAGATATGTCTTGTCCATGATGGATGGACAACTAAAGGGAATCAATTAGCTTCCATTGGAGTCACTGCAACTTGGGTCAATTCAGATTGGAAGTATCAATCTAGCTATCTGACTTTGAAGTTGGCGACTTGGCACCACTGTGGTTCTTTGCTAGCCAGACTGGTTGGAAAGTGGTTGATCAAACGCAGCCTTCACAGCAAAGTATGAGAATTTTATAATATCTTTATTTCTTTTTTCTTTGAACATTCATTGGAACTTTTCTTTAATATTGCCTCTAGGTATTGGCTCAAACCACCAATTTGGGTTTGAATAACAAAACTACGGCCAATGAACTCGAGAACATGTTCAAGAGCGGCGATCACACAGTTTATTGGAATTCTTCAGATAATCACGTGCAATGCTACTTCCATAAGCCCACGCTCGTGGTCAAGCATGGACTGAAGACCATGAATATCGCAGCTGGTCATGTCAAGCCATCAACTCGACCAGGAGCTAGTGTGCCAGTTCCAACCCTAGTTCTTAACACCGGTGACGATGATCTTGATGTCCCCTCATTGTCGGATGAGGATGATGCAGGTTTAGTACCAACAACAACCAATCCTGATTGTGAAGATGACGATTCATTACCTCAGGACCCTGGCAACACAACCGAGCTGGTTAAACGTGCTTTGTTGAAGGTCAGTATGTGATTATATTTGTCAAATAACACTTGCTGCAAGCTGACTTTCTATTCTACTCTGTGGTGCAATAAGGTGGTTACATTGATATGTTCAAGCTCATCTCGTCGACAATGGTTTTCCTCGCGGGCAAAAGCCCAAGGCCTCAAGAGCATAATTCATGGATGGGGTGTCCGTTGGAATGCAAAGGCTGATAGCCGCAGGCGTGCAGCGGCCGGACATGAGGTATTTCATTCCATTTCCACTTACAGATATTTTATTTTTGTAGTCTTGAGATTTAGTTTACAGATCTACTATTTTCACTTCCGGAAATAGATTATAAGTGGAATGTTACACACTGATTCAAAAACAAACTGTTCCTTTTGTGGATTAACAATCTCAGACAATGAGTGGAATGCAGTGCGTGAGGTAAACAAAGTTCTTGAGGCGAGTTATTTTCATATCTCTAAGTCTTTGCGCCAGTAGTGATTTATCTACACTTCCTATAGGTATTCAAGTGTGCCATGAAACGTATGGAAGCAGACTTTGCCTCAGGTTGCAAAGTTCTCTCCGAATATTGTAAGGTCCAAACTGAATTGCAAGTACTTCAACAAAGCAGTATGTATCCCAGCCTAGATGAGATGATAACGGAAATGCTCAAGCATTTGAAGCAATATGCGGAAGAGGCTGCCCAAACTGAAGTTGTCCAGCTGGCGACTATTCTCAATCCTTGTCATCGTATGAATTATATCAAGAAATTCTATCCCGATGTGGAAATTCAGGCGCAAGTGTCTTTGGAGACTTTGTTCAATCAGTATTCCAACAAGATGCCCAAACCACGGGCACCCTCTGTTGAGGTCGTTTCAGTAAGCCAACCGGATGTGAGCGAAGATGAAGAGGACAAATTTTTTCCAGCTGCACCAGCAACTGAAACTTCTCATCAAGACTTACAACTCAAACTCAAACGCTATCTTGACGGTGCCCATCCAATTGGAATAGGTATCAGTCCTCTTGACTGGTGGGCAGTAAGTACTATTTCCCACCTCATCATTGTTATCTTCTTCTTTACTGATATCAAAACCACATGGCATGGAATCTAGGCCAACACAAAGTATTTCCCAGTCTTGGCCACGATGGCTTGGGATTACCTGGTGCTCCCTGCAACGACGTGCGCAGTGGAGCGTACATTCTCGTTGGCGGCCAACATTGCCGTCTCACGCCAAGGATCAATGAAACCTTCAACAATCTCGCAAGCTGTCGGTTGCCGAGAGTGGTTGAAGAACAAGGAGGTACCATCAGGTAAATTTGAGGAAGCAGTGGCTTATCTTTTGGATAATGAGTTGCGAGAGGGAAAGAAGAAGAATAAGGGCATTTGAGTTTTTCTACCTTCCTAGTTCACTTTTCTTGTTCACCACTTCTACCATTGAGTGAACTATTCAATTTTCAAGGGCCAGTATTTTCTTTCCTTCACACTCTTTATCACCTAGATACAAACATTCTAATCGGTTATGTCCTTTTTTATTTTATTTTTTGTTCTGTTTTCTCAAATCAATATGGTTTTTTGTTTTTTTTGGTTTTTTGAGCGTAGCGGTCCGTAGCCTACGGTAGCTACGGTGGCTATGGTGTGGTCCACTACGGCGTGACCTCACCGTAGTGACGGGCATGACCTAATAGTACCTTCAACTTCACTACGGCTACGGTGAGGTATGAAGATTAAACCGCACCGTACTGTTGCCAAGACCATATGATACTACACTACGGTTTGATTTGTGTGTTGGTAGAATCATTTGTTATTTACCAAAATCCCAGGACTCCTCGGATTTTTGACCCCAAGCCAAAGATGCTGGCTGTTGTAACTTAACTTCTGAACAAAACTGTTTGCAACACCGACACACTTCAACAGTTTATCACCAACACTACATGCAAGGTGGTAACGCCGCGGATGCGGGGTCGCGCTGACAAGACACCCCCCTTGGGTTTTGTGCGGCATCACCGCGACCCTGCATCCGCGGGGTCAGCACTTTGCATGTAGTGCAAGTGGTTATCTGGTCAGCTTGTCTGCCCACTACTGGTACTGGTTGTAGGTTCAAACCCTGTTGTGGGCAGAGATAACTGGAGATTGCTTCCAAATGTGGGACATTACATCACCATAGCCTTTGCTATCAGGGTTTTTTCGTCGTGCCTTGATGACTTTTTAGTTGTGATAGGATGTTGGCAAAGCTGAAACTTCAAACATGTGCCTGTAGGATAGCACCATAAACCACATAGGCGCAAAAGCAGTCTTGCTTAGGTGCTCTTCATCAATTTTTCCAAAAACATATTAATCCAAGCAAGACAGTCTCTCAAGCATGCTTTTTCACCCATACCTCAAAAATGAGATCAATCTTACAGATTACTTTGCAGGAATTAATAAAGAAGTCTTCAAATTCACTTCATAAATAATATCTGATGTTGATCTCAATTATAACTGGCTTATTTGTCGTCTTTTGCAATTTTATTTCCTGAAGTCTTTTTTTCATCACCATACCATTGTGAATGAAGAACATCACATGTGATCTGGGTAAATGTAGACAAAAATATTCTTGCAACAAACGTCTCTGGAACACTTAATCAAGGAAAGAAAGACAAGTAACAAATCTTTTGATTGTGTTTATTTTTTTTGTACTTAGCATGGAGACAACTGTATCTTGGTAAACAGAAATCAAATATACATCAACTTAAAGAAAAAGCATTCATATTGATATCAGCTAGTCTTGGTTCTAGAATCACTAATTTGACATTTAATAAGTTTGGTACATCTATGCAAAGAAGGATATGTTGAATTATATGAAAGAAAGTTTTGAAATTGTTTGTAAAAGTTTATTGGATGATGAAAAAATCATGTAATATGTAAAGAAAACAATGGATTTTTCATCAAATTCAATATCATTGTTTTTAGTCATGCAGTTGTATTGAAAGAAGATTTTATTGTGATTGATATTTGGTTATCTTATTCCATTGATTGTGGTTAAAAAGTACAGATAAATAAGTTATTTTGAGGATGCTGAAGATAAACAAGGATATTTTTAATAAGGTGAAGTTCTACAACGGCCGGATCAAGTTGTGGCCATGAGGAGGGCTTCCAAATGGCCTCAACCAAGCCAAATAAGACAGCTTCAGATCTCTTGAAATCTGAAGACTGAAGCTGTTTACCGCATCCACTCTTCCTCTTCCCATTTGATCAACAATGACTCCTCACAATGAGAATTCAAACACAAGATTATCTTCCCGATCAACCCAGATACCTTCAAAAACGACTTCAACACCTTCAAAAACAACTTCAAAACCTTCACAATCAACTCAAAACCCTTCACCATTGACCAAACCTCCTTCACAATCAAATTCTAAACTGACACAAAAATACATTGAAACAATTAACCAGCCCCTCTTTTCTCAAAAATCTGCCCTCGACAACAGCAATCCACAAAACTCAAAAAGTGAAAACAAATCCAACGGAAAAGGTCAAAAACAAACTTGATCTCAAACTGAATCTAAAACTTTACCTCCATCTCAATCTTTTTGATAACGGTGACAACAGCATGTATGAATCAAATCAAAACAAAATCAAGGAAGATGAAAATGAAGATGAAATGAAAAATGAAAACAAAATCAAAGAAGATGAAAATGAAAATGAAAATACAATTGGAATTGAAAATGAAGATGAAGATGAAAACAAAAACAATATTGAAAATGATATTGAAAACAATATTGAAAATGAAGATCAAAACGATATTGAAAATGAAAATGATGGTATTTCAAAATCACATCAACTTGAATGATCAGCCAGTCCATTCACAATTGCCGCTGATGGAATGCCTGGCCTTGATGAAAGCCATATCCAGATCGGCAGCTGGTTGTCACACATGAGTTTGTTCTATTGATTTGATACACTGGTGTTAATCAAAATCTTCCTTGATATTCAGGTGCATAGTCCAAGTAAACACACCATTCATCTTGGCTTGTTTCTATCTAAGCTACATCAAGACATCCTTGCCGGTCAAGCCAATATCTGTGATGAACTCATGGATCAGATTGAAACAATTAAAGATAATGTAGTAAACAATATTGTTCAAAGAGTTCAAGACCAGATGGATTCCAGTGAGGTGAGAAACAATACACCAACTTCCCATCATGTGTCTGGCTCAAAATGGAGCCTCTCAAGGTAAGTGATCATGATTCCATATCACATAATCATATCAAATTACTGAATTTATGATGTTCTAATCACTGAAATTAACATTTCAATTGGCCTTTCAACATGTTATCAACTCAAGTGTTGAAGCCTACACTGCTGTTGTTAGGAAGCCAAACAAGACACTCATTGGAAACTCTCTTTTCAGGAAGATCAAGGTGTGTCTCAAAGTCTTCTTTACCAATTCTTACTCATTTTTTTCTTTTTCCCCATTACAGAAGTCAATCCTTCAACAGGAACTTCTGTGGTGTACCGAGCAACTTCCACCCAAGCCTAATGGAATCACTCTCACAGCCAACACTCAGCACTTGACAACAATGATCAAAGGAAAGGCCAAGCACACCCAAGAGAACTTAGACACTGCAGTAAGTCCTTTGAAATTCTTCTATTTACTTATATGATAACAGGGCTCTCCCTTTCTATTCAACAACCCTGGCCAGCTGGTTACAGGTATCAAACCCAATCATATGTACTAGATCAACACCCAACCTTCATACACTTGTTGAATTAGTATGTAAATCTGTATCACTATAAACACAATGAGTGTATGCTGACAACGTTTTATGTCAGATTGTTCAAGTTGGTAAGGGGGAATCAGAATTGAAATCACCCAAAATTATTTGGCATAATACTGACATGCTATCCCGCACCCAGTTTGCATATCTTGTAAGTATTTTGTATGTAGTTTTCAAATTATTATGAAGGTCATGTATTCTTCCATTTGTCTACTTACAGCATTGTGAATGCCTGGTACTATACTTTCCAGATAAGGCTACTTCCACAATATGGACTGAAGTAGACAATCAATTGGGCTATTTAGTTTCAAAAGGGTGTCCATATACAGTTTGGTGAGTTTTTTTCAAAATGTCTTAGTGTAAATTTGATTTGATGAAGATAGCTAATTTACAAAATGACCTTAGTTTTTACAATCTGATCTATAAACGAGACTGCGGCAAATTTGACAGTGGGTCTGTAATTTATGACAACATCCCAAGAGCCAAACGTTCATTTACGCTGCCTTTGAATGACTGAGTTCAGGCCAAGATACTTGAATCACAATCACACAGACCAAATAAGAAGGTAAACAAGAAGCCAATCAACAAAAAATGATGCCTTTATCTTCCAATCTCTTCTTATAGTTTTTATACATTCAGTATTACATTCTATTTACATATTCCATTATAAATCAAGGCCTTCGCTATTTGCAGCTCACATGAAATCCATGTAGGCACTGTCCAAATTACGCCTACACGGGTGTTTTCTGCCAAAAAGTGCTGACATTTATGATGTAGGTGCTTTTTCCTTTTTCAAATGACGCCTACAGGCTGAAAACCTAATGTAGGCATCATTTGCGTACGCCTACATGGAAAAAACAATGTAGGCGCTCAAAAAAGCGCCTACATTCCCAAAGAAAGATGTAGGCATAATTTGTTGTAATTTTTGAGCGCCCACATTCCCTTTTCTGTATGTAGGCGCTGGCCAATGAGCACCCGCCAATTAGGTGCTTGGAAAATACGCCTACATGGTTACTAAGGCATATGGGCGTAAATTACAAGCGCCTACATAAATTTTTCAGCCCAAATAAGCGCCTACATGCAGTCTTGCATATGTAGGCGCTACAAATCCAGCGCCTGCACCACCAGACTGGTCTGACGGGTAATGAAGCACCATTTTCATGTCGAAACAAGAGTACCGGAGGACGGAAAGGGCAGTTTCCACTGGAAATGAGAGCACTGGAGGACGGAAAAGACGGAAAAAGCAGTTTGGACTCAAAATGAGAGCACTGGAGGACGGAAAAATCAGTTTATGTTATTGTATTGGGAGATCAATACTCTCTTTTCAACTCAACACAAAGCGTATCAGATTATTATTATAATAGTGAAATAGAAGGTTTGTAAATAACATCCTCATATCAAAATTTGAAACATATCCACAATTCCAATAAATCTTTGACAAAAAAACACATTGTAAAATAATTACACAAATAATAGAAATCATTACATTTAACCACAAATACGGTTCGCTTACAAAACTTGAAAAAATCCACCATTAGCATGATTTTTGAGTTTTGTCCATAGTCAGAAACCTTTCACCACAAATCAATCTGCATCCACTGGCATGATCAGTCACACCATCATTTTCACAGCCAATCATTTACACGCCGGGTTGCTTTGCCTCACATCAAAACCGATCTGAAACAATCAAATCCACTGTGAACTGCACTTGATCTCGCGATGCCTAACCAATGCATCTCCTTGGCTCCACCAACATCAACAGGATATTTCAGAATCAATTGTCAGCTCTAATACCCACAGACAAGGATTATCAAGATTTGAATTTTCAGTGTGAATTCAGGAAATCTCAATGTCATTGAAGTTAACCAATCTTGGCCTCTCATTACCAGCAATCAGACAACTGAAAAAAATCCAAGTTAACCAACATGTTGAATTAGGTGGTTTTTCCTCAAAGCCAATTCGAAGGTACTAGATCCAATAAGAACACCAAGTTGACTATTTACCTCATCAAAACCCTTCAACACTTCAACATCAATGATATCATGATTATACCTTCATCAAAGAGAATCAAAAGATTGATGTTTCGAGGTGTGGAGTCTTGTGTATTTGTTATAAGACTCTGGTCAATTTTGAATAGTTTTGGGCTAATGACTTTCTTTGCCTCTTACAAAAGGCACGCCTTGTGAGATATTTCCGTGAAAAAGGTAAGAGTGCTCTTTTGAGAGAAGAATTACCTGATAGGAGTAAATTAGTAGGATCGAGCAAACCCCAAAAAGGAGCTATTACCATCAAAGAAGGATAGATTAAACAACTAAGAGTTCTCCATTTACCAATGGAGAAGCTCTTGGTCGCTCTTCAATTTTGCTCCAAGCAAAGCGAAGTCACGAATTTATTTAACAGACAAGCTCCTTATTGGGTTTTGTTCCCTTGTCCGTTCCAGCTACTAATTCTATTATCATCAACTAATAATTCTTCCACATTTTTCATCTATATTATCCAGTCTATAATCTAGTTGAATAACACTTTATTTCTGATAACTTTCAGTTTATTATTCCTTTCACTCTAAAACACTGAAAGCTTTACATTTCTCATTTATTTAAATCTAAATACTGGAAGCTTACACACATAGTTACTGCCTAACACACAATCATCTGTTTTTCCTCATTCTATTTAAAGACTAGATACAATTTCGACATTACCTTATATTTCAGCCCGAGTCATGGCAAATGCAGAATCTAGAGCTATCAGAGCCAATAGACGAGCCAACGGCAACAACACCCAGTCCACCAGTACTGGTGCTAACAATTCTTCAATCGACGGAGAAGACTTACCACCAGATGGTGAATCTGACGTCGGCAAAGACTCAGACTCAACAAACAACGTCGTAGACAACGCACCCAACAACCGAGATGCCAACAATCTCTTACCTGGAGGTGCCCAGGCTAACCCCGCTCCAGATCAAGTTATTCATCATGACCTGACAAACAAATCAGACTCAGACAATCCTGGTCCAAACAATTCAGAACCCGAACAACCCATTGTTGACGACGCTTAATCAGAGACAACAATAAACGGCAACGGTTTAAACCAAGACTTAGCAGACTCCGGAATAGACGACAGCCCCCCTTCAGACTCTTCTGATTCTGATAGCAGCTCAGACTCCTCAAGCTCTTCAGAATCTTCAAGCTCATCGTCCTCTGATTTGTCATCTCTTTCTTCTGGATCAGACTCTGGCTCAGACTCTTCTAGCTCAAGCGACGCCTCTGAATCCTCATCTGACGATGAAGATGAAGACAGAAGAAAGAGAAAGCGTAAATCTGCAGTGTCACATCCATATACACCTCTTTTCGCCTTTTTAAGGCACTGCCCAAATTCCCACTCCCCCTCTCATCGTACATCCCCATGGCTTATCTAGCCCTCAAACTCAATTTCCCCATAAATACCAGTAGAGGAAAGGTTAACATCCTGAAACCACAATCACCTCCACACTTATCATGCTCAAGTACCTCACATGCAGGGCCAAACCCTTTTTCTACCCCTGCTACTTTAATCCCCTGTGATATACTAAATTCAGGGTAGATTACTTTATCAAGTTCACATCCTACTCCCCCTCATAAAAAAACCCCCATTGCCTTTCAATTCTATCAAAACTGATAAGATCCACTCCTTCTGATATGTAGGAACACAAAAGAAAGCAGCGAAACATCAGAAGTCAAAGTTGAAGAAAAAGTCAAAAGGGAAAAGCATGAGAAAGAAGTCGAGGAGTGAGAAAGATAAGAAGAAGGCAAAGAAGCAAAAGCGAAAGTCCTCAAAGAAGAAGTCAAAAATCAAAGGTGTCATTGCCATCGACATTGGATCCGTCCCAACTGGAGACTTGGTACCTTTACAGGTGAATATCCCTCCAACACTAAAAATATTCCAGAAGACAGTTTTAAATTTGTATTATTAATATTGCCTTCCGCTTAATCACACATCAGCCATTTTGGGGAGATCAGATGTCAGATCTTAACACATCCATCCCCCTCACGGTTTTTGATCAGAACTTTGCTAAAGCCGACAAGACCGAGCACAACAGAAACCATAACTCTTCATCCTCCAAGAACAAAACCAACAAAGGTTTAGATGCTTCTTGTAAGGAACTTCTGAAAGTCCTTCACCTAAATGATCTCGATAGCGCTCGTAAACGTGAGCGGAGGGAACAGGATACCACAAGGTGGTTCCGACTGATTCTAATGCCAATAAAAATTATAACTAAAAGCTGGCTCCAAAGGATATGAATCTAAATCAGTCAAAGATTCCCTAAGGATTACAAATAATGAATAAAGAAATGTTAAAAGAGAAATATGATGAGCTCACCTGGCTCCAAAGGATATGAATCTAAATCAGTCAAAGATTCCCTAAGGAGCCAATTGTGTGCGTGAAGAATTTGGAAAGATATAATATCTGTTTAGGTCTGAATATGTTTATAGCTAGATTTATGTTTATAGGTTTTGTAATGGTGTTTCGACGCATTACATTCTCCCCTCCTATAAAAGGCTTAATGCCAAGGTGCGAGAATGCGCAAGGTGATTGAGTCAAGAAAAGAAAGAAAAAAAAGGAAGAACCGCCACTATACCCACGCAGGGGTCACCAATTTTTCTTTAAGAGAAGAAAGGAATTTTTTTTTTTGGAACCCAAGGGACGCTCACAGTGTGGCCAAGGTAAAGTTTTCGAAACAACGGCGTAGAGGTGCCCGGCGGTGCATACAAAGGATGGGACTTACTTTTGGTCACTTGACCTCAGCTGAGAGTCCTCCACGAATGCCTTAAGCTTTGAGATGTTGAAAACAGGATGTCGCTTGTCGCCGGTGGGGAGGTCCAACCGGACGCTTTGACCAGTGTTGAATGTCTCCAAAATCTTGTACGGGCCTTTGTACCGTTCTTTGAGCTTATCGACGCCACCTGAATGTTGGCCACGCCAATCTCCCGAGTCCAGTAAGGCCCAGTCTCCCGTATTCAACGTCAAGTCCTGATGTCTTTTATTGTGTTGGAGTGCCTGAAGTACCCGGCTTGACCACAAGTTGTCCCGAACCTGTGCCCACGTCCCTTCTCGTTGTTGAAGCCACACGTCCAGTGAGGGTGGTGATTCATTAGTTGTCATGGTGGAGGGAAAGAGTCTTGCCTGGCGTCCAAAAACTACCTCGAATGGGGAATGACCTGTGGCGACGTTGATCGCGGTGTTGATTGCAAATTCGACAGCCGGCAGTGATTCCAGCCAACGAGTTTGACGTTTTTCTGTGAAGGTCCGGAGTATCTGACCGACTGTTTTATTAGTCCTTTCACTTCTCCCATCCGCCTGTGGATGGTATGCCAATGACCGATGGAAAGAGATGTTAAGTCGTTCGACTAACAATCTCCAGAATTTAGAAGACCACGCTTCATCCCGGTCGCTGATGATGGACTTGGGTGCTCCTAAGGAGCCCATCCAAGCGGTGAAGAAACGAGATGCCGTCTTCTCGGCCGTGTCACTTTGGTTCGTCGGGATAAGGCGAGTGAAACCAGTGAGGCAACAAGTACAGGTGAGTAGCATATCGTAAGTGTTAATCTTTGGGAGGGGGCCGATAAAGTCGATTGCGATGTCAGAAAGGGGTTCCGTCGGCATGTGGGGAGTCTTCATTTTTCCGTGAGGAAGAGTTGTGCGGGATTTCGTTTTCTGGCACGTCTCGCACGACTTCAGTCGCGCCTCAACGTCCTTGCTCATCTTGGGCCAGAAGAAATCCGATCGTAGGGTAGCCACAGTCTTCAGTAAACCCAGGTGGCCCACTCTTCTATGTGCTTCGTCGATAAGTTGAATTCTCAAGTTTTCAGAATCCGGAATCAGCAGTCTGTCTTCGATAAAAATCAATCCATTGTCGATATAGCAATCCTCTCGGAGTGGTGTGCCGTCTCTGACCGCCAAGCAGAACTTGTCGGACTCGTAACCAGCGGTCACTTTCCTGTGGAATTCTTCAGAGATTCTGGTTTGAGATAAGGCTAACGCTGCGATGGTCTCAACTCCTGTCTGTAGATCGTCGACATCTTACCTGGACAGCGCGTCGGCCACCGAATTATCCTCGCCCTTGACATACTGGAATTGTAAGTCAAAGTCCGCAAGTTGTTCGAGCCATCGGGCCTGTCGTCGACTGAGTGAACGTTGTTTCAAAAGGTAAGTCAGCGAATGATGGTCGCTCATGACATTTACCTTCATGCCTAATAAGAGCATTCGCCACTTCTGAAGTGCATGAATAACTGCGAGAAGCTCCTGTTCATGCACCGGGTAGTTACGTTCTGCTGCGGACATTTGACGGGATTCGTATGCAATGGGATGTGCCGTTTTCCACTCCTTACCCTGAAAAAGCGCTGCGCCCAAACCTGTGCCGCTAGCATCGGAAAATAACCAAAGGGGGTCGGTGGAGTCGTAGTCAACGGTTTTCAGGCAGGGCAGGGTGGTCATGATTCGTTTAATGTTTTGAAATGCTCGTTCTTCAGCTTCGCCCCACCTAAAATCCCTCTTCTTAAGTTTGCTGCTTGTTAGAGGAGTGAGCTTGCCGACATATTTTTCGAGGCCTGAGATGAATTTCTTCATCCATTGCACGGTGCCAAGAAACTTTCGGACTCCTTTCCCGGACTTTGGTGACTCCCATTGACGAATTTGTTCCACTTTCTCTTCATCTGCTCGCATTCCGTCAGCTGAGATTACATGACCTAGGAACTTGACTTCTTGCCTGAACAACTTTGTTTTCTTACTACTACAATAAAGATTGGCCACACGTAATCTTTTCAGCACCAATTCCACATGCTTCTTGTGTTCTTCAACTGAGTCTGAAAATATGACAATGTCGTCTAAATAGACCACACACACCGTATTGATCAATTCTCCCAATGCTTCTTTGAGTCTCGCTTGGTGAGTAGCCGGAGCGTTTGTGAGTCCCATGGGCATTACGCACCATTCGTAAAGGCCCCATGGTGTCTTCACAGCTGTCAATGGAATGTCAGCCTCCCGCATCCAGGTCTGGAAGAAGGCGTTTGTTTGATCAAGAATCGAAAAAACCTTGCCCTTAGCCACTAGTCTGACCAACTCATCCACATTAGGAAGAGGTGAACGGTCCCTGACGGTCATACTATTCAAGGTGCGGTAATCACATACCCACCTTGGAAGTTCCAAAGGGTCCTTCTTTGGAATAATGAGGCTGGGCAAGGCGTATTGGCTGAATGAGCGTCGCAGGCGGCCTGCTGCAAGATGTTGATCCACAAGTTTATGCCACGCTGCCATGTGTTTGGCTGGGTATGGGTACTGGCGCTCATTAATCACTGCATTCTCGTTGGTGAGGATAATCTTATGCCTGACTTTTGATGATGGGTCCTGTAAGCTTTCAGGGAATGAGCCGTCTTTGAATTCTCCTTTTGCTTCCGCTTCATCTGATATAGCTGGGATGTCCACGGGGAAGAGGTCTTGAAATTTGATAAGGAAAGACTCTTCCATGCTCTTCCACGACTCACTTTCTCTGGTCAACAAGGGATTGTTCTTCTCTTGTAGGGACTTCTCCCACGAGTTCCATTTCTCACTCTCAACTCTCTCTTCAGTCAACGCAATCTTCTCACGAATAGAGACTTTGAATTCCTCTTTCATTTCCTCTTCATGACGATAATCTAAAAGTCTGGCATCTGTGATTTCACTAATTACAGCTTTTTGTGAACAAGATACTGATAACTGGTGACGAGCAAGAAAGGGGGCTCCAAGAATGATGTCATAAGATGATCCCAATTTTCCAATCTTGAGATAAGTTCGATCAAAGCAAAAACCGGAGGAGGGGTGTTTCAATGTGGCTGTCGTGAATTCGGTGAACATTGGGGGTTGTCCTCCAGCTTCGAGTGCTAGTCCCATGATTGTTGGTTTGACTAGCTTCCGACGTTTCAATTTCAATCGATCAATGAAGTCCTCCGAGATAAGGTTTGTCTCAGAACCTGCGTCCTCCAGTGCCCGAATAGGTGCCCCATTACAGTTCAGCTGCAAGATCACCACGGGCTGAGAGACAGGTTGGTTGACGTACCCTGTTTCATCAGGCACGATGAGTTCGTCATTTCCGTTGGCGATTTCACGCAGCTCTCGGTCAATCTCTTCATAAGCCGCGATAGTGGTGGTATTGTGTTCTGGAAAGGTGGCTGCCGCAACTGTGTTCTTGACCGGGCGTCCAGCTGGTGGGTTGACAGGCCTGCCAGCGGCGTTTGACGTGCTAGCTAAATGAGCTCTTGGTGGAACATAGTTGGCAGGTTTTGGCGGGGCTTTGAATTCAGGTGGGAATACGATTCGTTCCCTGGAAAGCGTCCCAGTGCATTGTCGGTATTCACTGCCGCACTGCTTCTTGCAGTAGTGACAGAGACCTGCCGAGTCGAGATATGCGCTGATCTTCCAGTAGAAGTCCTCATTAGTTGATTTCTCGGGAGGGGGGCGAGTGTTGTTGAACGTCGAAGGACGGGCAGAAGTGGAGGTAATGTGGCGTTTTTGGATCACTTTCTTGACAACCAGATCGTCATAAAATTGATCACACCGCTCTTCAAAGTGATTGTAATCAAAGTCTTCTTCTTTGATTGGCACGTGGATGCGAATAGTGGATTTCAACTCTGGTAACATGCCGAGGATGAGATGTTCAGCAAGTTTATAGTCTTGGAGCACCAATTCGTCGTGGTTCAGGAGTGATTGGGTTGATCGAGCTCTGGTGCTATAGGCCTTGAAGTCTTTGCTAGTGGACATGCGAAGAAGGAGAATCTTCTCTCGAAGCTTGTCACTCCAGTCTGATGGTAACGCTGATCGAAACAATCGATCTTTGAAATCTTTCCACAATCCCTCCTTGAAAGTGTTGACGTTGTGTGACCAAAAAGCTTGAAGGTTGGTCTCAAGCAGGTAGGATCCCGTGAGGATGATCCTATCCGCGTCTTTGTCGATCTTCTTTACAAGGAAGAAGATCTTCAGTGCCGTGAACCATTTGAGAAAGGCTTCCGTGTCACGGTAAGGTCCTTTGAAAGTAGGTCCATCCGAGGACTTGAACCTGGTGAGATCAATACCTCGGTCCGCTGGTTCAGGAGCAGGAGGTGATTGAGAAGAGGATGCTGAGTTCAGCTGGAACGTTAGGAGGCGTTCTTCTAATGCAGCGATCTTCTCGGCCGATTCGCGAGCCGCAGCAATTCGCTCCTCCTCAAGTCTAGCAATCCTCCGAGCGGATTCATTGGCTGCTTGAATCCCGGCGTTTTGTGCCATCAGGATCAAACGTAGAAGATCGTTGGTGGATGAGTCAGGAGGGAAGTCGTCGCCTTGTGATGATGATTTGGTCATCTTTGAGTTGCTGGTATCTCCAGCTGCGTAAGTCATCGTCTCGGTAGACTTCAAGGGTGAGGTGTGAAACGGTAGGGCCGTAGCGCGATGCTCAATTCGGAGTCTCCCTTCTTCCTTTAGAAGTTGAGGTAGGCGACGATGAAGTAGAGCTGGGGTCTGGGGAAAATCACCGGGGACTGGTTGTGCCGGTGTCGATGGAGGATGATACGGTTTAGCGGTGGCGGGGGTGAACCGAGATGAAGTAGCGAAGAGAACTTTGTCCGAAGAATAGGCACTAGCGTCCTCGGTAGAACGTTGGTGAAAAGTTGGAGGTTGGCGAAGAAAAGTTTTGGGATCGTCCACTCGATCTGTGAGTGGTAGCTGTGAACTACGGGTTAAACGTGAATCCGGGGGAGGGCTCATGTATGAATGTGGGGTTTGAACAACGATAAGGTTTGATTCAGGTGAATCCGGGTGCGGAGATAAGACGTAAAAGTCTGTTCATACGATTTCAATTTGTTTACTCGGGATTGGTATTAGAAAAAAAAAGTGTAAGGAACTTCTGAAAGTCCTTCACCTAAATGATCTCGATAGCGCTCGTAAACGTGAGCGGAGGGAACAGGATACCACAAGGTGGTTCCGACTGATTCTAATGCCAATAAAAATTATAATTAAAAGCTGGCTCCAAAGGATATGAATCTAAATCAGTCAAAGATTCCCTAAGGATTACAAATAATGAATAAAGAAATGTTAAAAGAGAAATATGATGAGCTCACCTGGCTCCAAAGGATATGAATCTAAATCAGTCAAAGATTCCCTAAGGAGCCAATTGTGTGCGTGAAGAATTTGGAAAGATATAATATCTGTTTAGGTCTGAATATGTTTATAGCTAGATTTATGTTTATAGGTTTTGTAATGGTGTTTCGACACATTACACTTCTTCCGAATTTCGCCAGACTTTCGGTGAATGGTCTGAGAACATGAGTTTGATCAGAAGGTATCTGGCTTTTTACTACAACCAGAAACCTTTGTCAAAATACTTAAAGCTGCACATCGTGAACGTGAAGGCAATCAAGTTGGTCTCTCCAAGTCTTCAAACATGTATCCTTATTTCTCTCCTAAGAAATCCAAGGGTAGAACATTGCTAATCACAAAACAATGATTCTCAGACGGTCTACCGAGTGCTGGATGACAGCCTTAAGGTACGACATTCTTGTTTGTTCACAGATTTTCATCAAGTGTGATAGCAAAACACTGATGAAAGACATTGGAACTCGAGTATTGCAATACGAGAACCAAGCAAAGGACAAGTCTCTACGATCCAGCAAGGCTAACTACGGGGATGTCAACTCATACGCAAGAGGTGGTAGATGGGAGTCTAAAGACCCAGAGACTGGTCTTTACACGTAAGATAAACCACCGGAAGGGTTTATACCGCAGCCCAGAATGGCTCCAATAAGTCCTAACCCTTGAAATCCCCATCTGATTGTTTGTTCTTCTTCTAGACACCAGGCCCCTCAACAATCAAATAGCGGTGGAAGTCACACAGGCCACAGCTCAGAGAGCCACTTACTCAAGAGAAAAAGAAGCAGACACGGAGGTCACAACGCTCCACAGCACAACATGCCCAGCCAAGTGCCGCCCCAAACGGCACCTCAGCCAGTACAACACGACCTCCCTCTAAACCCTACCTTGTACCAGGTCCAGCAACCTGCACCAATCGCGACTCCCATGGCAGCAAACAGATTTCCTAGCAGAGGAGGCAGAGGTGGTTGGCAAGGAGGAAGAGGCAGTTTCCAAAATCTTAGAAACAACACGTGAGCTAACCACGAATCATCAGCAGTTGGTGTTCTTGATACTTCCCCCCTTTTTTACCTCCACTCGTCTCCTTTTGGTTTTTTATCCCATATGTCCAATCCGGTACCCTTTATCAGTCTGCAATCCCTTCGAGTGACCTGTTACACTTGCCTATTACGTGTCCAAATAAGTCCACAACCCTCACTTTATAATTTGTCTCCCGTACCCATCCTTTTCTACCTTCTCAGTTTCTTAATTTGTTTTTTACCCACCTGTCGTAAGACCAGGTTTTTTTTTTACTCCTCTCTGAATCTAGCTTTACCAAGCAGCGCACTTGTCATCCTCTTTTTTGGTCAGTGTATATTGGAAAATGAAAACTTCTTGTCCATATTACACAAAGAACTCACGCGCCACCGCTTGTTTGCCCTTTTTTGCCTAGTTTTAGCGAGAAACCTGTAGAAGGTATCTCCACTACCCCTTCCGACAAACCCAATAGCTCAGACGGTAAGAAACAACCCATTTGGCCAAAAGGCATCAAGTGCAACATGAAAATACACGCTTGGAGGAATGCGCTTGAAAAACATCCTCCCCTGCCAAGGCTACAGTTCATAATTGATGGTTTCAAAGAGGGTTTTGACCAGGGAATACCAGTCCGCTCGATAGATAACCTTCCCTTCTTCTGCCCTCCCAATCACCAGTCAGCACTTTCCGCCAGGGAGGACATGGAGAAAAACCTACGACAGGAGGTGGCGGCTGGCCGGATGTACGGACCTTACACGAAGCAAGAGATGTTGTCTCGCTACAACTTCTTAAGGTCAAGTCCCCTCGGTGCCGTAACAAACGGCGACGTTACCTTCCGCCCAATAAACGACCTGTCTTTTCCCAAACACGACCCCAACATCCCAAGTGTCAACTCATGCTTCAACAAAGATGACTTCAAAACGATTTGGGATAACTTCGAACGAGTCGCACTACACATCGCCAATGCTTCAGTTCCGTTAAAAATCGCCCTTTTTGACTGGCTAAAAGCTTATAGGCAGATAGGAACTCGCCCATCTCAATGGCCTTTCTTACTCATACAAGACTTCAATGGTTTACTATATATTGACCTGTGCATCTCCTTTGGAGGCATAGCGGGCTGTGGCAGCTTTGGTGGACCAGCGGACGCGTGGAAAGAACTCGTTGAGTTAGAATTTGGTCTAAACAAAGTCTTTCGCTGGGTGGACGACAACCTGGTGATAAAGGAAGAGTCCAGTCCACTCAGCATGAATGAGGTTGTGGCATATAGCACTAGCTTGGGGGTTAAAACGAACAAAACCAAGTTCACACATTTCAGTGACAAACAGAAATATATAGGTTTCCTCTGGGATGTCGCCAACAAGACAGTCTGTCTTCCTCCGAAGAAATTGAAAGAGAGAAAAAGCCAAATTGAGGAATTCCTTGCCAAAGTCGACTACACCTTCAAGGAAGTAGAGAAGATGTACGGTCGCCTATGTCACGTCTCCTACATTGCTCCCCAACTATGATGCTACCTGCGATCAGGTTTTCGTTGGAAATGTGAATGGTCAAAGCTCGAAGCCAAACAAAAAATGCCCCCCCTTGTAAGAAGCGACCTAGACCTCTGGAAGAACACTTTGAATTCTTTCCCCAACCGGCTGCTGCTGAAAACTAGGATAGTCAACAACATTGGTTGGGTAGGGGACACCTCCACGTCATTCGGCATTGGTGTCATTGTTGGAAAATCTTGGGCACAGTTCAAACTACGTCCTGGTTGGGATTGACCAGAAGGAAGACCAACTTGTGGGATCACATGGTTGGAAACGGTTACTGTCTGTCTGGGACTACTTGTCGTACAGAAGACGCGCCCGCTAGAGGGAGAACAATTCCTGGTGCTCACTGACAACACGACAACTGAGGGAGTGCTGTGAAACAAGTCCTCAAGAGACCACTGGGTAAATGAAGAGTGGAAAAATATTTCAACGTTGCTTTTCCAGAATGATTGCCAATTAGAACAGTGTCGCGTGTCTACTTTAGACAACACAGCCGACCAACTATCACGTGGCTTACCGACCACCAAGCCTTGGTATTTGCAAATTCATGTGACAGTCCCAGAGGATTTGACGTGATGGCTTGAGGAGGTCGAGTTTCCAGCAGAGGCCGATACTATAATAGAAACACTCCACAGTCCTAAACCCTGATCCTCACAACCACTTGTTTTTCCCTCTACATCTTTCTGCTCTATCCATCACACCCCTTTGTCGCGCCCACATTACTTCAGTCCTCCTCGTACTTCAATTTTATCTATCTACTTTCTATCTCTACGGACCCTGCCTCTTCAGGATATTGTCCCCCTGTCTATAGGTAAGCACGCCCAGCTTGAGACAGTCCCCGTTAACTCAAGCGACCTATCTAAGGCTAATGCAGAGACATTCCTCGACCTTTAGTACCATCTCCCACCCTGTATCACAATACCCAGCATGAGATGCATCAAAGCCTTCCTACGAGTCGATGACAAGGTCAAACGCCCTCTGACTAGAGCACAGAGACACATAATTCAAGCAGGATGGAGCCGTTCAACCATCAAATCTTATTCATCTGGCGTAAAGAAGTTCAAACTGTTTGCTACCCTAAAAAAGCGAAGCCCGTTCCCAGCTTCCTGCGAAACAGTCGAGAGCTTTATAATCTGGGCTGGACACAATGTTAACAGACGCGCAACCAACAAACCCGTGAAAGTCACGACAATCACAAAGTACTTGACCGCATTACGAACCTGGCACACTTTTCACCGTTACAACTTCCCTACCATCCATTTAACCCGCTTGAAGATGTTGCTCCGCGCTTCAAAGAAACTAGAGACGCACGCCCCTGTCCATAAGGTCAACCAAAAACCTGTGACTCCTAAGGCCCTCCTTTCTCTTGTCTCAGACATTGCCAAACAAGAGATGGATTCAAAAGGTCTGACTGCTCTAGTCTTAGTTGCCTACTGGGGTCTCGCTAGAATGGGGGAACTGGTTTACGAGTCTGATACTTACAACAGACATGACCATAGTGCAATACTACGATCTGACGTCAGATTCTATCACAACAACGGCCTTGACAGAGCTGAGATCACGTTACACGAAGCCAAGACAGCTGCACCAGGGGAATCCCAACTGCTAGTACTGAGAGCTACCGGGGGTGTTCTGTGTCCCGTAGGCGCCTTGAAACGACTGTTGGTTTACCTGAAGAAAGTCAAAGACCCTCCTTTATTCCTCACGTGGAGCAAATCTGGAATGACGGCAATCACTAGACAGATCGTGACAAGAGTCATGCACAGGTCGTGGGGTAAGAACTCCAATTTATCTGGTCATTCATTCAGAATAGGTGGTGCAACACTATTAACCAAAGCAAACATCAACCTCGACACCATCAAGCTGCTTGGACATTGGAAATCCTCATGCCACGCTCTATATCAGAGGGAATGGGATACTAAAGAGTGGGAAGCAGCAAAACAAATCTTACGGATCACAGAAGATAGCATCCCATCTTATGACTAGTGTCCCTTTTTCAACTACCCATAACCTCACCTAACACTACTTGACAAACATGTTCAAGTACACACGTCACAGTCATGTCTTCCTTTACTCTGCACACACCCAGTACGTAACTTACCTTGTAATTACAATCCCATTGTTGTTGAAAGACATTACCTACCCAAATTTCTTGACATCAAGATGCACAGGCGTCAGGAAAGGGAGAAGCTAACTAGGCTCAGGCCCGCCACCTGAGAACGGGATATTCAGCCTCCTCCCCTTTCTGGGAAGACAGAGTACTCAGTAAACCAGTAGAAAGAATCTCTCTACAAGGTTTACCGTTCCTTAACGAGAAGTTCACGATATAATTCTCTCAGAACAAAACAGATACTTCCTGAAGAGAGCTCTTACGAGAGAACTCTCCACAGATGTATCTGAGTACACATCATTAGATCTTCCAGGTCTCAAGGGAAGTAGAAACTTCCACGAGACCTACCGCCCGCATCTACTCCTTCCCTCACTTAGTAAGAAACTAAGCAAGGGAAGGAAAAGTCTATTGAAAATATAGAATGTTACAATTGAGAATGGACCTTTTTTGCAGTGACTTACGCAAGGTAAAAATTCAAACAATGTGTAAGGGGAAACATTCAAATCAAGAACGTGAGCCATTTATGTTTTTCAATCTCACAAAGGGCATTTTTGATGGGTATGTTATCATTTTTTCAGTTTGCCTACACATCTCCAAGTACAATGTGGAACAGATCAGTTCCAAAACACATTAATTTCATTGACGGTAAGATAGTGAAAAATCTCAACTGATCCAGGTGAGTGATTGAACAATTAATCTTTTTTTGAAACCGGTGAACCTGCATCAGCAAAATGAGATAACAAAAACTGCCTACTTTTATTTTTCTCTCTGATTAGCTTGAGGGCCGGTTTGATTTGTGTCCTTACAGATTCTTTGAGCCCTTTGCTGGCCAATTTAAATTCAACTAATGCACCTAATTCTTGCTATCCGTAGCTTCTTCCGCGCCCTCAACCTTTGGCTCTTCCTCTTCAACAATCTCTTCCAAAGGTGTTTTCCTGTCACTATGGAGGAATTTGAGTTTCTAGCATTTCAGATCAGGATCTGGTTTGGAAATGGTTTTGATCAAGTTATTGGTTCAAAGAAACCAATCACCATTCAATTTAATTCACATCCCAGTGTCTTTACCACTGTGTCCGTGTAGGGTTTGTTTGTCAACGAGTGCACACCAACTCCCTTTGAGGCAGAAAGGAAAGTCGTGTGCGCTCATCAACAAGCAAACGCTACCCAGACACAGTGTACATAGTCCGGATTGATATCAACTTCCCAACATCTACATACATTCAACCATTTTTGGAAAGATTTTACGTGATTTAATCTTACAAACATCTTCAAATGAAAATCAAAATGATCTTCACTCAAATCAATCATTGAAACTAGGAATCTAAAATTGATCATCAATCAGTTCACTCTAGGCAATCTCAAGA